TCAAAGTTGAAGCAAGTGTACATTCCCAACTAGTAAGTTTTTTCATTATGTGTGTGAGGTACATATATACTTAGTTTTGGTTTGGGAATCCCCCTTAACTTGTATGTTTTCTCTTACTGTAGCAGCAACAAACCTAACTCAGCTGTTATCAACAATAACAAAGGAATTGTAAATGGAAACAGTAATGGAGAGGTGGCTGTCAGCGGGAAAGCATGTGAATCCTGTAATGGTAAGTAGAATTCTTTGTACATTAATTTTCCGTTCACAATAATTTCCTCTAACAATTTAATTGTAACATATTTTCTTATCCTGCAGTAACATCTTCAAGCCAGTGGTATGCTTGGGGCCCAACACATATGCAGTGCAAGTTATGTCATAACTGCTGGCAGTATTGGAAGAAATATGGTGGCCTTAAAGTACCGTCTAGAATAGGTTTGTATCTATTTATCCAATTTATTATTATGGAATATATTTCAGAATTCTTTCCAGTTTAAAAGCTTCACCATAGCCAGTGAACTTTTTATCTATTTTCTTTAAAAACTCATTTATTATTTTTTAGGTGAAGGTGACAGTGAAGTTAAGAAAAAATCTGGCTCTGGTAATGTCTCTGATGAAGGTAAGCATTTGAAAGCTTTTTATCTGTAATATCATTTCACTCAAACTTTAAAAAATTCTCACAACAAACTCTTCATATGCAGACTCTGTATCAGAAAGGGCACCATCTAGCCTAGCATCACATAGACCACATCGATGCAGTATTATTGGCTGTGGAAAGGTACCTATTTCTTGAAAATTGCTGTGTTGCTTATTTCAAATTAGTGATGTGTCTGTAAAAAAATAATTACCATTTTCAGGAATTTAAGCTGAAGACTCAACTTGCTCGGCATTATGCTACAGTGCATGGTCTTGCAGTGCGAGCAGGCTCGCCACGTCCTATTATGAAAACAAGAACAGCTTTCTATTTGTGCACTACTCCTCTTACACGTATTTCTCGGCGACTATGCCGTGCACTTATGCAAACTAGACACGCTACACGAGCACCATTTTGGGCAATCAACGTACCTGCAATCAAGCAAGAATGTAAGTTATTCAATGTGGTTCATTTAAATCATCATTTTAGTATGATTATTCTTCTAACTTACATTCCTGTTTTTCAATTTAAATTTGTAGGCCAGGTTCAAATGGCAGGCAAATCCCTTGCTCAACTTAAAGAGTTGCTTGTCTACCGCAAAAAGGATAGAGGTAGTGTCACTGCAATTGCCACAAGGCTTGGTCAGTACAAGGAAACTGTTACTCCAGAGTGGCTCATCCTAACAGATAAAGATAAAATGCCGAAAGCAGAGGTTGTTGCTTTCCCCAAGCCACCAAGTGCTCCAGGTAAAAGAAAACAAAAGAAACAAAATAAAGAAGAATATGAAACCTTTCTATATTATCTTCTTTAAAGGATGTTAAAGGTCCTTTCATTTCGTTTTGTGCTAGCATTTGATTTAATGAACTTTGTTTTACAGATGGTAGCCTAATGTATGAACGTGTACCCAACAAGCCTGAAGCTGAAAAAATTCCATTGAATAACATGTCTCCTCATTTGAAACGAAGAGCAATCGACGAAGTGAATGGCATGGATGGTGAGTACAAGCGCCGAGCTGAGTAACACTTCATCCACCCTTTGGTTTTGTCTCGGTTTTTGTTATGGGTTTTGTGAAGAAAATTTCTCCATCCATTGTTAACCACAATATCATGCTTGTGTATTTCCAATTAAGTTTTAATGTTTCCACTGCTGACAAAAGTTCTGCTACTCTTGCAAACTTTCCCTGGACTGGTCAGTTGGTCCTTTTAAAAAAGATTTTGGGCAGATCCTAGTCTGAGTTGAAATATTTCAAGAACTTTTCTGTGATCAAGATGCTGGTTCACATCAATCTTTTAAAATAATAGTCTCATGAACATTTCACAGTTGACATTGTTGTTATGTATTTTAGTGTTGCTTCATTCTACTTTCTGCCAAAGAGCATGATTTTATATAATTGGTTCAGAACTGTTGAGCATTTTTTTCTTTCATACCTACATAGAAATTTATGTAACGAATAGTTAAAATTTCATCTCAGTATTAGTACCCGCACAAGATCTTTTTATGAAATAATGCCACAAGTTGCCCTTTGACTGTTTGAGTAGGATTGAACATTATTCTTCTTGACCAGTGTCTACTAAGTTCATGTTTCTTTGTGGAACTCCTGTGTACCTCTCTGCTGGAGTTCCGTAAAAAAAAGGTGTTCCAGAATTCTTTACCCTGACCTGGTTCTGATTTTACTCCAGATCAGTCAAGTCTCTCCGACCTTGCTCCTTTTAATGGTGTTGGTTGCTATGTACCAAATATATCCTAGAACACAAGCCTACCTCTTTTCTCACCTTTTCAAAGATAGCTGGTGGACCAAAAGAGATATTCTTCTATGTCCTCTTAAAACCAAAGCATTATTTGTTTAACAGTTCCAAGTAAAATAACCATTACAGTACATCTTATTTTGCTTGGTTTACCGTATCAGACATTTAATCATTATGGTTTTTGTCCAATTCTGTAGCTTTTAATTTGTTTTTATTTAGTAAATTAACCAAATTTTCTAAAACATATTTTTTCATCATGCACTTTCATCATTTTCAGTTGTAAAATGATGCTAAAGACCTAACGAACTGAATCATTAAAACTTAATCATAAATATTATTTATTTCTTTGATTTTATTGAGCTTTGTTATTATTTAAAGCTACGTTTATTAATGTGCATTTTATCTTTTTTTTCCTTGCATTACCTAGACTCGGATTGGGAAGAAGGTGGGTCCTTAAGATTTTAATTTTAGACAAATTGAACTTTTTATGTAAGTGCTTTTTTTGCACGTATTGCAATGCAGTATTAGCTACTAAGTAAATTAATTAAAGATTGAGCTTTAAGAATCTTATTTTTGTATAGTATTACAAAAGTTTCATTTTCTCTCTGTTCAAAGTTGAAGCAAGTGTACATTCCCAACTAGTAAGTTTTTTCATTATGTGTGTGAGGTACATATATACTTAGTTTTGGTTTGGGAATCCCCCT